TGTATAATAAACGGCGCTTGTCTACATCTTGTCTTAATTGAACAGCACCGTTTTAACGGAGTTTATTCAGTTATTTGACAGTTGTGGGAATTATGTAAGGTTGTGTGTCATGCAGTTTTTTATTTTTCCTTCGTTGTATTCCAGATGGGACAATCAATATCATCAGGAACAATAGATGGCCGAAGAGCTGCGGAACTCCGACTGCTCAACGATGATTTTGTAAGTTTATTACCCGATACCCACTCACTGCCTTTGTTGAGTTTCACTAGTAGAGATGGTGTTCTTGGCTTTTAGTTCTTGCACGTTTTTCGGTATTTCCCTATTTTCGTATTTTTGTCAAGCCGCAGTTTCTATTACGGCTCAAATACATGTATCTTGTTTGATAAAGTGAACTATCTTACATTATTACTCTAAATCAATTTTCTGAAGCTATCGTCAACATTCTGCTTATTCACACTTACGTTTAGATCGAAGCGGAAATTGTGCTTAAGAATTTGCAACTTGCTCAAGAACGTGCCGTTAAGGTTGGTCGATTATTGCGCTTTCAATTTTACTACGATATGATACGATTAGTGCGATTACTTAGTAGTTTGATTTAGCCTTCCGTTCCCAAACGACTTAGTATTTTGTAAGAAGATAGAATAAGTGCAAGAGTGCTTCGAAGCATTTGCATCCATTGATAAGCTCAGTCTTGCAGTTAGTTGAGCAACAAGAACGCTTTTCATGGGAATTTCTTGGTATTGGCACTATGGCAATCATCTTGGTAGCAGCCGGTGCCATCAGTAAACGAAAGGTCTGCTTCTTTACTCAGCAAATGCTTGTATAAGTCTCTTGGGCAAGGTACTAGAGGAAATCTTTCAGTACGTTCAGGATTTCGCTGTCCCCATTGCACCTCTTGTAATGGGGCTTGGGTACAGATATGATTGCGCATTCGGGAGGAATCATGAGGTTGTTCGAGGTATGCTTGGCTTGTCCCTATGTGATACATTGAGTGATACAAAACGTTTTCAGATAATGCCGAGTCCATGCTCAAGCGAAACGATGACCGATTGCGACTTGTTGGAGGACCTCTTACGCTCAGAGATGTAGACGCATATCGGGAACGACATTTTCAGTAGGATTATTTAAAGTAGTTTAAATAAAGAATGAATACCCCCTAAAGTTGAATATGTTCGCCAAGGAATAGCTTCAATCAGCCGTCAGTGGCTCCTCTCAGCTTTACTCTATACCTTGTGCCATACAACGATTTTATAGGCTTTGGAATACTCAGAAGATGAAAAAGGGCTTAATTACTCTGGAATCGGGTTTCATTCACAGACGAATACTTATTGTCGCTACAATGGTCTTACCTTTTTCTGTTCTTTCCTATCTTTTCTCTGAGTCGGTGCTGAAAAGCCCCGTTTTGTGCCAGCCGGTAATCTTTATATTTATTATTCTGTGGATTTCCGTATATCTCCACTGGGATTCCGGCGACGTATTCGATACGCATCACGGCTGCCTCGTCGCACCAACGGTCCGGCACGTAATTTTCCAAGGTGTTTTGCATTTTGCCTCTCCGTCTTTGATTTTTCATCACCGGTGGCATCGCTCTAAATGAAATTATAATAAATTTTGTATGGCAGTAAGATGAATGTGAGGGAAGCTAGGAAAGATAGGGTAACATCGCGAGAAGGATGACTTTTTCTTTCAATTTTTGTAATTGGAGAAGGAATGTGACCATGTCTTCATCGAAAAAGGGGACTATATGGATCTCCTATTCCGCAGGAATTGAAGAATAAGGAAAGAGGTGTAACTTCAGGTCTAGAGGACTTGATTTGGGGCATTTGAGGGCAGTTTCATAAGAAACCTAGTGCTTCTGGTACCTTTTGGCCTATAACTTTCGGGTGCTACCCGACATACCAGTCACTGCTTTTCCTCATGCAGGTCTGTTTCCTACTAAGTGGCTCTGAAGCGATGTAAAATTTGGTTGACTTATGACCTATCGAAGGCTTAGGTTTGTGCGCCTGGTAGTGGTGCCACTTAACATTATCCCGTTTCCATCTACACATAGGATCGAGACCAGTAGATCGTTTGTACTTGAGATCATCGTTTTAGTTAACAAAATAAACTCACTAGTAGTCTTCCTCGACCCCGATCTCTATTCCGTAATGCTCGACGAGGCTCTTTACCGTCTCGGTTCCGCATTTCTTTGAGCAATATCCGTCGTTCCAACGAATTTCGTAGTGACTGCTTCGGATTTATGCTCTCCCTTAATTGGCATCATCTTCGAGTGTTTTTTAAATCTAGAGCCCTTTCAAAAAATGGTTTCAAAGTAACTATATTGGTAGGCCTATAAGGAAAGGCAAACAAAGTGAGAGAGGGACTTTGTTAATAAGGTTTGATTTCGAGGTAACGACAGGCAATTTGATAATTTCGATATCATTTATGCTGTTAAATAAAGATGTATGATGCACAAAAATGTGACTCGCTGCGCGGTAACTTAAACAGGGCCACGCGACGCGCGAATAAGTCGCACGCGGCTAGCGGCGAATCGCAATGAACTCCCAAAGCCCTAACTCTAAACCAAAAAGGGAATTGTCGCAAACAAATTCGTTCGCTCTTGCTAAACGAGCCAAGCAAATTGACTTAAAGAGTAGTGACGACAGCCCCGATTTACCGTGACTAAGGTGCTGTCAGCATGAAGTTTAAAGTCTCATTAGTCTCAAAGCAACGCATAAGTCCAGGAATGGAAGGGCTGAGGGAACTGTATGTGTCACGCTGTTTGCCAAAACTTTAATTTGAGCTGTCTTTTTCTCAAAAAAAAAATCGTACCTGTTAATGGTCGCAGGGGCTGAACTGGTGCTGGCCTCATCCAAAGGCCAATCGACGCCTTCTCGAAGACATTTACTCAGTTCAACATTTGTTATGCTTAGTGTGCTGCCTTCAGGAGTATTACTGTGCGACTCGTCCACTTGTGACAACCTTAAATAAAATTTTAAGTCAATTTCGTCTACGAATCGAAAGAAAAAATTCTTTCGGTAGGAAGAAAGAGGAAGGTATCCCATAAAAATTCGAGTTAATACAGTTTATAACTGGATTCTTCCTTAAGTACTGGAACTCCTGGTTGTTGAATGAAGCACTTGAGAAAACAAAGTTGAGAGGAATCATGCCTCCGTCTGCCATACTTTAAAATATTTCCGATCGATATTGATTGATTTTCAAGTCGATCGGCAATATTTTGGTTTAGGCAGAAGATGTAATGGGCAGGAATTGAAAAAGGCAGGCACACAGAAACGTCTATATAGGTCTACACTCAATCAAGCACTCTAACGATCTCCAGTGTAGGCAGAGTGCACGGCGTATTATCTCTGTCCCAATGACCTGTATAAATTTTATCAGAATTTGCTAAACGTCATCAGGCCATGACCTCGACTACGCTAAATTTTGCCTCAGAGGTCTAGACTCACCTATTCGTATCCATTTCAAGTACCGTAGCGCTCGAATGTTCAGAGTCAGCGCCACGAGGTGTGGTGGCGGTTGACGTGTTCGGCGTAGCCGTCCGTTGTCGGATTTCTGTGAATGCGGACGAGTTCGTCTGGGAACTGTGTGGTGTGATCTCATCGCTGAAACAAGCTTTTTTAGGAAGTTATCTTAAAACACTTCAGCTCCAGTAACAGCAACCCCTGCTTTGTGTCGCTGCCTCTTCTATTGAATCCAATGATCAAAAAAGAGTTGAATTTTCAAAATGCGTTAAAAGAAGGGAACGCCCACCTCGGATCGCTGACGTGACTCGTAGATGGCTGGCACTCATCATCCGGCAGAGGGGAGGGAGGTGTTGTTCTGAAAGGAAACAAATTTTTGTTTGGTATCGTCGAAATCGATCGAAAGAGGCTTTTGACCGCGAGTAAACTGCAGGGAAGAAAATCATGCGGTAGAAGGGAAAAGTAAGAGCCCAACGTCAGATTTACTCGAACGACCTCTGCTAGAAAGGTTTTTTCACCAGAAGTAGTTCTAATGAGACTCAGATGAAAACCAATAAACGCCGCTCAACGGGTAATCTCTTTTGACAGATGTCAAGTCATGAACGAGCTGATGCTTGACCATCAGATTGCGCTACGTGGTTGACTTCTTATCAGAATCGTAGTAACATTTGCATGGGTGCATGTATGTATAAAGTGACTTGCAAGTGCCAGCCGATGTAAAATTTAGAGATCTGTCTTCCCAGCAGATCTGATTTCCATTCAATGGACTTAGGTGAGATGGTAGTCCTAATTGACTCAGTTCCCAACCGATCGCTAATGATCCTTCGTACCGAGTATTCCTGATACGGATGATCCTACGTTCTGGACAAACTAAAACCCGACAAAAGCATATCAATTTTAAAGTTAAAATCGATAAATCAATCCATTACGTGTGATAACTATTTATGTAATACTTATTCAAGTGCCAGTGCCAAATTCAAGTGCAGAGCAGGGCTGTAGGGATGTCATCGATTGATCAGAATGATAAGGCAATCAATCTCCTACCCCAAAAAATACAAGAGCACCCCTCTAACATAAACTGGTCGCTGCGAATCAGTGTACAAGACAATCACACATAAAAGAGTTAACGATACTGAAACTGAGTCAAGGGCGTGGCGTTTACCTCAGTTCACTCGTTATTATGCATCCAAAGCCATTACTTTAACCGTATAAAACGTAAAAATCAGATAAAGCTGGACGGACAGCACCACAAAAATATGTTAGCACATACAAAGCGCATCGTTTAATATTTATAGCCAACATAAAAGTTTGAAACTGGCATAATTAATAATGCTATACAAGCAAAAACAACTGTTTGACTAGAATCTCTATTTGAGCAATGTATTTGACTAGATTAGACACTATGGCACACGTGGTACAGTACTGTAGTACACAGAACATTGAGCAAACATCATAGACAACATAAAAGACGAGGTTAGATCAAAACCAGTTAATTAGCAAGACAATGTGGTGTTATACAAATGAACAACTGACAATTTTAGAACAACAAAAGCACACTGAAAAGCCATGGCTATGTCTAGGTTTGTTTGGAACTACGGTAGCACAGGAGCTGGGGACGTCACATTATAATTTTGCATAAGAATTAGCCCAAGACCAACAAAACCCATTTCTATTTCCTAATTCTACCAAGTTTTTCCCGGAGTTAAAAGCTCTAGAGTGTCCCAAGAAGCCGTTTTATGGACCGAGAGCATATCCGATTACCTCGACACCTTAGGACAAACATCCAGGTCATGGCTTACTCCAAATCATCTATCTGACGGAAGTCTAAGCATGTATTCGCAACCTAAAGTCACTGATAAAGGATTATTGCCTGCGAATTAAGTAGCCAAAACGAAACCGGATTCTCATGAGAAATCCTTTTGATCCATCCTATACTGTAGATGCCCCCGTAACTCTACTGTAAATTGCATAGTGTAAATAGATAGTTTCCATGTCCCATTGGGTTCACCTTGTCGCATATGGCCCACGAATTGCATCGAAAATGCTGGCTTCATGAGCAAGATGTTCGATGAGCTTGTTGACAGGCAGTTCTTCGATTGCATCGGCATCGAACCGAGCCCTGAAAAAAAATGGTTCTAGTGAGCTGAAAAGCGGCGGAATAGGATGTTACAAAAGTCGAGTTTTCCAAATCACTTCAGTTGTTTTTTTAGGTTCAACCGACGGCAATGAAGTAAAGGAGCATCATTTAATGTATTGAAATAGGATTTCTTGCCCTCTTTACTGCAGCCGCTATGGACAAGAACGAACTGGGATCCCACTTTGGGAGCCCTAGCAACGTAATAACTTTGACTAACCCGATTTTGAAACTACTTTCTTCTATGCATGTAACGTCATTACCAGGTCCAGTTAACCTTGGAATGCAGTCTGGCAATGTGAGACGATTTACTACTGCTTTTTTTCTTAATAATCTATTCGTTCACGGGAATAGGGATACTTATGGGATACAGCGCTATCACACCAAATCAATGAACAGTCAATCAATTCCCGAAACGACAATCAGCCAGGACAACCGAGCCTTTCTCCCTTCCGAGATCGGGGAGTCAGCTCCACAGAGAAAATAAAAGCACAGACTTGAATGTTGCTTGACTTCACTCCGCCAAATTCTGGTATAGGCTGCTATAGGCTACGTATTCATTCTCAATGCTACTTCGACACTGAATGAAAGTCCAGTGGGGCATGGAATGACCCCAAAAAGGGATTAATCAACCTCACTTTGTCCTTTTGTCCCTAACAAGTTCCCTAAATGTTTTATTTATTCACTCGTTTTTGGGCACTTATATTATTAAAGGAACAAACTCAAACCTAACAGAAGCCAAACAAGCTCAGCCATTTTGAAACTTGCTGATGGCAGACCTTGAGAAAGCTTGGTCCCATCAAATTTCAAAAAAAAAAACTCACTTCAGCGGACATGTGGGCTCGAAAGCAGGATCGTGGTAGGTGGCCAGATAGGGCAAGGCAAGAACTTCTTCGGCATTTGATCGATTCCATGGTGAAATTTGGAGTAACTGGAGAAAACGAAAACTGACACCGGTTAAAGCTGCAGTGTATTAGACTGGAAATCACCTTGTCTATGACCTCCAAAGCTTCAGCGCTAGCCTTTGGAAGGATTGCTGACCACGGAAGCGGCTCCTTTTTGCCACAACTCTCTATCCATCCAAGTACGATATCTGATGTGATTTGTGACATTACCTAAACTTGATCATTCTCAGTAGATGTACATGGGCCTCTCTGGGAGACTTACTCGCTCCTCTGGAGTTCCTAAGTAGTAGACAATCATTTTCACTTGGGACACTCCATCTTTACCAGGGAAGATCTGTCGTCGCATAATCATCTCGGCGAATATACAACCAGCCGACCACATGTCTACCCTCAAAGAACACTATCGATTTATTGATTGATCGGCTTCGAAAATAAAATGCCTACTTGGTATCATAGTCAATCATCGAAAACAGGAGTTCTGGGGCACGATACCACCTTGTAGCGACATATTGCTGTAAATACTTGGATGACTGTGGGACTATAGTACGAAAAAAAGCATAAACGCTACTTGTATGGACGCAGACTGTAGACTTAACAGGATATATTAGGATTCCTCTGATTGTCCTTAAAAGGCTCCCAAAAGCTATCAGAGCGGCTAGTTTGGTTTTCTAATTCGAGAAGGACGAAGTGGTGAAGACCGATTGAGGCGGAGCCCTGGCTGCCCTGGCATTTCTACACACTATTTCCATTCTATGAGCATGTGATGAACTTTTCGGGAACTATTCAACCGGCTGTGGGATTGAAAGCGTGAATGGGACCTGGCCTACAGAGACAGCACTGATTCAAACGCGGTGAATCCAACCAAGACAGCAGGACACGATAGGAATATTTCCACTTCATACCATCCAGGTCGAAAAAGTGATTGTAGAGGTAAAGGACGAGAAGGCAAGGCATTCAATTACTTCTACAATTCTTGTGGAGTTCATATCCGTGACATAATTCAACGATTGGTGAAGTCGACTAACACTACCCACCCCTCATCCCCATCTCCTCACTGGTCTATGCAACACACCCCATATTTGCTGGAAGTTTTGTAAATGTAATCTTGGACAATCGATCCAAAGCAAAACTAATCTGAAGCTTCGCGATATGGGCGGGGTTCGAGGACAGGAAAATTGTAGGAGTCACGCATCGACTGATCCTTTTATTGATCGATTTCGTATACCAAATCAAACTATGCCTAGGAACTGAATGAAAGGTTATCCGCCTGGAATACAAATAAGATGGGCCGTTCGGTACATATCTTTTATTTTTCGCCAATTCATCCAGTATTTCACCTTAGAGCAAATTCATTAACTCATTCATCTCCTCTTTAACTTATCAAGACTCACTCCGTCCGAAGGCTCAATTTCCCTTTTGCCCCTCCTTCATGTACGAGTATGATTCAAATATCCCCACCGTAAGGAACTTGTCTGTAGTAGGCCTCGTCTGTTCCGTAGAGCGTGCCATACCAAAATCGGCTATTCGAAGCAGGCAATCACCGTTCACCAAAAGATTTGACGGCTTCAAATCACGATGTACAATACCAACTGAGTGCAGGTACTGCAACGATGTCTCGTCAGGAAATTCCAATTACAAAAACCGTGCACAAAGCACCGTGCACGACTTAAAAACTTACAGTGACGCATTTACCTTGAGTCCTCGGAGTAGCTGATAGAGGAAGTATTGAAAGTGTTGTTCGACTAGTGCTTGACGACTGTGAATAATCTGATGCAGATCGGTTTCCATTAAGTCCATTACCATGTAGATATCTCGGCCCTGCAATCAGAAGAGGTTGATCAATCTCTACCGGGTCTTTAGGGTTTCATGCCTCAGATTACTCAAACTGTCGTTCATACTGAAGTGCTAAATTAACTGTGCGGTCTTATATTCCTTTCTTAAACCTAATTTTCTTAAAATATCTATTGAAGGTACTGTAGGCTGATGTCTTTGGTAACGTGCTGTGTATCGAAACAAACAGATATCGTAATTTTGCGAAAGTTCGAAAAAAGGAAACTCATTGCTAACTAGCAATACTTATGCATATGGCACAGCCTCATGCTTACTTTTCATGGCTATGCCATCGAAAATGAGAAACCCGCCGAGTACTTCTGACAGTCAGCTATGGGAACTCCATGCGAAAACTGCTTTATCTACAGAAGTGAAGAACTTACATGAGTGCCTTCAGCGGTGAACATATCGAGTACGGCGATGATGTTTTCGTGTCGAAGTTCCCGTAGTATACGTACTTCCCGTAATGATCGCTTCGCTAGCGTATGCGCTGCAAAAGCGCGGGGAATTTTCTTGATAGCCACGGCTCGTTGTGAAGGCTGTTATAAAAGAAAACTGTTAAATGAGTACAATAAGCAGATTGAAGCATATGGGGGTTTTATCTGATCCAACTTAGTGGCACCATCACTTCGCTCGAAACCAATCAATAGTGGCGTGCAGGTCATAGATGCGAACGGTTGCGATGCGTCAGCTCATTAAAAATTGTATTTTACCGGAGAATAAAGGGAATCAGTCAATCGAATTCCAACATCAGGAGGGGCAGACCAGGGAGAGACAGTATCAGGGAAGGCGGTTCTCTACGCTGCAGACACAGTGACTGTCTTCAAATCGTGAGCGTCATCTCAGGATTACTGTAGAGTCCTAGCAGAACCATTCTACAGTGCTGTTTTAGGTCAATGTTTCTTCTTCGGTCCGATCTAGACAGTCAGGAATTCTCGATTCAAGTATAGAACCTTTTCTAAAGTCGCAGCACGAGCTGCCACGCTAGTCTTGCGAATGGGAGAATGAGGATGATAAGATTTAATGGCTTGCTGCCACTTGAGCAGCCCTTTTTATGGCATCACCGATAAGAAGGGAGGATTGTCGGAGGTTCGAGCAATCATGGGAACAAATCATCTCCGTACAGTTCATGATTCGGCAGCTCAACGACCATGGGGTAAAAAACATTGAAAATCGACAAGTCCGCATCTATGTGAAAAAAAGTCTGAAGTTAAAGGTTTTCCTAGCTGTTACGCTGCTCATACACTCGAACTCGTTCTCTTCACGAGTTTTCGCAACACCCGCCCCTAGCCCATGAAGGACAAAGGGTCAGCCCCATACCTGGTATCTTTGGGCCACAATGACTTGTGATCGAATGAGCACGATTAATCTTCTATTATTTCTAGACTTTGAAGAGTTTGCGGATGTTACTATCTTTTTAATGAACTCACCAAATGCTTCGCTTTACACACAACTCCGTAGGCGCCCGTACCGATTGTATCTTCGGCGACATACGGTGTTCCTTCCAAATGGAAGCGAACATCCATACGACATGGTTCTAACATATTCTGAAAAATTACAAAAAAAAATCAAATTCCCCAGGGGCAGTAAGATTAACTTAGTGAACAACATGATTTTCTATGAACCGAATTGTAGCTATTTTCCGAGTTTTTGAAAGGGCATTTTCTCCTTTATAGGAATTCGATACATAAAATCAGCGATGGCCTTACAACCTCCCTCTCCCTTTCCTCAAAACTTATCGATAAATATAAAACCATAGTGTAATGGATGCCCAATTCTCTGAAGGCCTAAATAAGACCCGGATCAATGGATCAGTTGGGACTGCTGCATTGCCCATGTCGGGAAGATTGCCTCCTTCTTTTCTATGGCTACGACGCGGCAAGACTAAAAACCTTGAATGAAATTTTTGACAGAGGCAACCCACGACCATCACAACTTTATGGTGAAAACTTCAGCTGAAGTCATCTACTCCGATAGAATCCTAACACTTTCATATGATAAATAAAAAAATAATGATTGTAAAGGAACTAACCTATTCTATTGCAATCCCTGAGATCAAAATTTGAGCATCAAATAATTTTCCTGGAAATACTCCAGTTCAATTATGTGCATAAATTACAGTTGGAAAGACGCGGTTGCGATACGGTATTGGTTCTAAGATAACAATTAAATTGTAATACAATGTAAACAGTCAAACAACGCTTCTAAACGTTTCTTGAAATGCTAGCTCAATCTATGTAGAACGAGAAAACAGTGGGAAAGCATAGATATAGAGGCTGCCATTCAAGAATTCTGAGACTTTCAACAATTCCTGAACATTGCTTGTTATTTGAGCACAGGTTAAATTGCTTATATTTATTTTTTCTTTAAAGGGCAATGCGGCCCTGTAGAAATGGGCACGGTATTCATAGCCTCGCCGCAATGTGTAACAACGACGTAAAAGGACAAATCGCTCGAAAAAAACCATTTGCTTCAGAAGATAAGCCATACATTCGACTCCCATTATCAAAATGACCTATTTTAATGTTTAAATACTTATGCGCACAAGTCTTACATTACAAGACTACGACCGTAATCCGATCTTTTAGACTCGGTAGTGAGACGTTTCCGTCCTTCGTGGCCCACCCTGGTCGGAAACATGCCTGAAAGGACCATTGGTTTGAAAAAGATATTAGCTAAAACCCTCCACTTTCTGTATGAAGCCTACGATTTGTTTCATACTAAAATAACGTTCTCCCCAGTCAGAAATGTGGGAGGACTATCCTCAGCAGATGAAGATCACATGAATTTNCTTCAGCATTCCGATCTCGAAAAAAAACATAAACATAAAACAAGTAGATGACGTCATTGCAACGAGTTAGTCTGCGAAGGCCATTCGACGGGTAAAAAGTCAATCAATCGACGGATATGTTGCGGTCTAAGTAGAGGCGGAAGAAATGTGGATAAATAAACATTGCTAGTTACAACTAAAGGGAAAAAAGCTAGAAAAGAATCAACGAGTGCTCTTTTTTTGAGATGCGCCATGCCTTTGATATACTTCCAGTATTAGTAGGTCAGATTAATGAGCAATCTGATTGTAACTTGTTGAAGTCACAGATATTGCCAATTGGATTGCCATCTTGCGACTATTTATAGGCCATGCTTGACAGTCTACAAGTTTTGAAATGTGCCACACTCCCGAAGGTTCTGGAGTTTCAAGAATAGGAAATAAACATTTATGGAGGCAAGGTACCTCTGAGTTTCCAGTTTCACTACAAATTGATTAGGTAGTGAGCACAGTGCTCGGGATTAGGAATCCCACAGCAAAAGTTGTGCCTTTGGAAATGCTTACGAAGTCAGAAACCCGAATCGTGATGCATCGATCAGGCAATCTAATACATAAGCCGTGCCCACAAAATCCTTGAAAATTCTCGGAAGTGTTTTAATGCACCTTTGACTTAAACTATGACCATCCTACTGGTATTTGGTAGTCAGCATTCGATTCAGTACTCCCAGCCAGGTCTCAATTCATTTTCCTGACTAAGAAGAACTACGGTCAACCAAAATGAGACCAGTCTTTAGGGTGGACCCCTAGCGACACCGCGCTAGGTAGCTGTGACTAACTTTTAATGATAATGATACACAGAAAACCTTGATTTATACTTAGTTGACCGAATCTGGACAAAGAAGCGCTGACTTATCCATCTGCCTATCCTTTTCGACCAGAATGAATGTATAGGTCCAATACGCATTCAAATACTTCTATAATCCGGAACAGAACTCGGATGCGAAAGGGTATACCAGAACGATACTGGCCAAAAATTGCTATCCTTCAACATTTATTTGACCTTACGGTGATACATAAAAATAGCTCTTGGTCTCCTGAATGTGTAGAACTTTCTATCTAGAATTGGTTTTGCAATTAAACATAGAGCCTTTCATATATTACAACAAAAATGTTCGTAGAAAATATAAAGACCGTTGAAGAAATGATAAAAATGATCACATCAATGATAATGACAGAAAGATTACATTTATTATGTCCATTGAGTGACAAGATTCATCAGAGATAAAATAAACATTCAAGCTTGGAAGGAAAGACACACTGTCATCAACACTATCACTAGAGCCGTATCGATTACGATAGATTGGTGTAGTATGGTACTTGTTACTGTAGCTCGAGAACACTACCTGTTACTACTGTAGAACTACAACTTTGACAAGAAATCTTCACAATACGAGACACCCAGTTGGGACAAATCGGGACAGCTACAGTGGGACAGCATTTTTTATTTCCAGTAGGCCACGCCTCTTACGTTGAAATCGATTTATCAGCGATTTTCAGATGGTATACTATATGGGTAAATGAATTGAATGATTTCGAAGATAAGGAAATCGTATAATTAATTGGTCATTTTATCGCCGTTTACATCAACGGAGTGGAAGGGCAAGTGACCTCAGTCACTTGGTTCGCACTCACTGTTTCATGGTCATACTGAACTCCGGTGATTGACCTGACTGGAATAAAGGTGCTTATTGACTCCGGACCCTTGACTTCGGATTTCCGATTTGTGCAATGGCTACAAGTGTATGTAGACGAAACTTATAAATACAAAAAGATCTTCAAAACTGCTCCCTATTCCGATTTCCGGACTCTTTCGAATACATGCTAGACTTAACATGAAAGTAAGGGAAACAGGTACAAAAATAAGTTAAGATGAAGAAGATGGCTAGGGGAATTGGCCATTAGAATGGATGACATATGCCTCAAATAAGTAGCGGTTGTGATGACAATGAATCAGCATGACTGCGCAACGCTGACCAGTACAGTACCCTGGCTATTTGGGGTAATCAAATTACATGGAATTTCGAAAACTTACTCACTAAGGGCTGTTGTGTGACCTTTGCTGTAAAAAGGGATGGATAAATATCAACATAAATAATATATTAAACAAATGAATATAAATGTCGTACAAATTTACGATCAAAAAGTTTTTAAATATCATCAGTACAAAAAAAATTGGGAACTGCGCGAACGCTATCGTGCAACAAAATCTTACGAAAAGTCAAAGACCCAAAGAGAAGGGGAAAAAATGCCGTGAATTCTGAAAAAAAAACAAAAAACAGAAACAATTCTTCGTATTCTTCGACAAAGAAGAAAGAATACAAAAGAGTACAGAAAACATCCCATTTCCTCTCCATTCTACCTAATTCCAAAAACTCAAAATTTTCGGTGTGTTTTTCTAATAGGGTATGATAAGGAACAGGAAAAAAAAACCCAGGCAAAAAACCAAAAACTCAGACAGGAAGTATAAAAAATGATCAGGAAGTTGGAAATATTAAAAAAGGACCTAAGAAATGTTGGGCAGTGGCAGTACGAATAAACTGGCACACATTGAGGCTCGCTCCTTACCAAAACAATCAGTCTTCCAAAAACTGGCTCAGAACCAGTAGATCTGCATATACTATGAAGACGTCCGGACTGCAAGGTTTTTGTATAGTTTGCAGAACACCTTGTGTAAAGACGTATTTTTGTAGGAAACCTCAGGTTATCGAACTCTTTGATCAGGGCAACACCCTTTTCCCCTTTTTTTTCTAATAACGTGGAGTCAAAAAGTGTACTTTGTCCTTGGAAAAATTTCATTCATTGACCAAAAAACCACCCTAGGAGTAGATACATACTCCTGCACGTTCTTGTTCCATAGGTGGTCAAGATGAAAACTGCTTAAGCAAGTAAAAGACCTTGTTGAACAAGCTCAATAAGTCGTATGGATTCAGAAAATGAGGAAAAGGATATCAATTTTTAACTCTCCCGATCTTCATTTCTTTGATCCTGCCTTGGCGAATATGATAAGCATGGTTACATGAGATTATGGGATCGATGCTTTTATCTTGAAAACATTAAGGATTTCTGTGTCTTACATAAGATAATCGGATAACCTATTGAGGCCGAGATGACATTTCCTGCCCAAACAACTAGATTACTGAATACTGACTATTGTAACAGTAATGGAATCTTTATTGATTCCGAATGGAATCAACATCTTAGTTACTGATTTTTAGAACTTTTTTAGTTGATTCTACATTTCATCGATAGGCAAAAAGATACGCACCAGCAAACTTACCCTGAAAAGTTACAAGTAATAATGCTTTGTGGGATTTAAAAATAAGTCGAACAAAAAGCAGCGCAAAGCGCAGCTCTGCTTGATGCTACGCATTTTCGAATAAATTTATGTAAACGAATGTTGACAGTAAATAAAATTATACCATAAACTACTGCCATTAATATTTGACTAAACTAATCAATCCTACCGTGACATTGATGTTAATGAAGTCAAAATTGAAGTGGCTAGAGGTACTAGTACTTGAAAAGAAGTGTTGGCAAACAACAGAACAGATAAGTGGCGAACATCGTTGTGGTTGTGGAGGGTCTGGAGCATCCGAGTGATGAATTCAGTAAACAACGAGGGATAACAAAAGAGAACTATAAAATTTCCTGGAAATCCAAGAACTGTGGGCACCCAGTTTTAGCACGTTCCCTTCCCTTACTCTACCCTTACGCTCCATTACGCTTCACTCAGTCTCCTTTACAGTTCTGATGGACAACCCCCTGAGGACAGTGTTTCGATAGAAAGAAAACCTTCGGCGCAAAAAACATGTAGCTGTATTCAGGAAAAAACTTAAGCTGAAAAAGGGGGTGCCGGCTAAACCGTTATGGGAGCCACTATAATTACATAAATAGTGGATAAAAACAAAAACAAAGACTCAAAGACCAAGTATGTTATGCAATGAAATTCGGTTGTTTGGCATGCTCGAAAGATGTCTAAAAGGACAGATGGCTGGCATACTGAAGCCAAATACCAGTTGGGCCTACGAAAAATTCCAATCGGTTGAGTAGTCAAGGAATTTTGAAAACACAAAAATTTGTGAACCGTCATTAACGGATTTTTGAAAAAGCCGAAAGAATATCGGTGCAGCCCACGAACAAACACCAAATCCCACAGAATGCGTAGAGAACCGATTCAAAATCTGCGGAATGAAGATAGGAGGCTTAACATGCCCCGGTTAAAAATCTCTCCGAAATCAAAAAATGGGGTTGATCTCGATTCTGCAGGAACAAGACTGCAACGAGTAACTTGGGATTTTAAAGTTTACCATTCCATTCAGATAGTGTTCTGCTTCAAAAGAATCGTCCTATACCCCCTCCTCCCCCACATTCGACGACTTAATTTGCCCGAACTATAGTGAGCAGCGTTCCATCAAACCTGCTCCCCTTTAGATTAGATTTTTTCAAGATTCTTCTTTTTTCTTTGAAGTTGGGCACTTGTAACTGATACTATTTTTAGAAAAAACATGGGGAATCTTGCTGCTCTTAAAGGTCAAATTTGTCATCAAGTATGGAAAATGTTCCATGTGAATCTGTCCTAATGGATCCATGATTAATTAATCAGGAGTGACTAGGGAATTTATCAAAAAAAAAACTGAGCAGTGACAATGAAGGAAAAGCGAGTGAAAATATTCATAATCATTAATTATGTCAATTTTTATCAGTAACAAGTCTAAGCAAGCACTATCAAAAATTATCATTGTCATTATCATTGTCAACAAATCAACGGAAACAAAGAATTCCGAGTAACATTTGCTGAATGCCTTATTCAGGTATCAAAAACTTGTCCGGATAATTTCTGCAAAATACTTTTTTGTGTTTGGGTAAAGACAAAGTCCGGGAACTGGTGAGGATCTGATAAGAAAATGTCTAAATCGACGATTTCTGTTATAAAAATAACACTCCAAAAATGGATTCGGAAAAATCCAGAAATTCAAACGATAATTTATAAATGAAGGTTAAAGGTTAGATTCTGGTCGGAAAATAGCTAAGCGAGAGGAGAACAACCACTCCAAGGGGGTCGAATGCCATGAATGATTGGCAGGAAATTGATTACCGACCGGTACATGTGAATGCCCATTGCCGTCCGTTGAAGAATCGACAAGTACTTGAGATCTACCGAAAATGGATGGTCATAGGGCGAATTTTCCCAATTTCAAATATAAATCGAAGATCAATATCCTCCTTCTCTACTTAAAATATCACTTTTCTACCAGCTGGGTGATAAGAGGCCTTCAAGTCCTTCGAGAGTTTCCCCGTCGCCATGACAGAAGGACCCGAAGAAGGACAATGGAAGCTACCGAATAGGTGAATTTCAGGATTCAGCCACCGGAAAGCGTCACTTATGCATAGGAGAGTTTCGAGAAAGCATTTCTTTTGAATAAAATAATTAAAAAAGAAGGAGAAGGGGATGTGGAAGCGACTATGGCGGGCCAAACACGTCTACGGGACGCGTCGCTGATAGTTGTGAACGAGATGTGACTTGCGTGCCCCATGTGTCACCCATGTAATTTGCCTTATCACTTGTTAGATGTTCTCCAAATGTGGGAGTAGTGGATTGATTGCGACGCGGCGGTAGCGCCGAAGCGACTGAAATCACTTTCACCACAGGATGGAGACGAGACTGAGCAATGTAGAACACCAAGATGGCGATCATGAAGACATCATCGACAGGGTGAGAGGCCACCCGGCGATGACGACAAACTGAGCGCTCGCGCGCGACTGTCGGTCGTCGAAGTCGATTCGACCACAACCGGTCTCGTCTAGCTGCCACACACTGAGGGCACGTGTATGGCGGCATCGTCGCCGTCGTCGTCGTCGTGGTTGTCGTCGTAAGACGCCGCTGGACGCCATCTATTCCGAACTTCATTTTCGGGTAGCGACAACTACAAAGCTTTCAAAGATAGTTGTTAAGAAGGAAAAGTCCGGAAATCAACTATGAAGTGACGTACTTGATTTAGAAGAGTACATCCAGGACCCTGTCATGGGCTGATAAAGATAAAGCGGAAAAGGCAAGGAAGTCGGTCTCACGTCAGAGAGGTTCAAAAATCAGGAAACTCCTGCAGGACAAGCTTGTGACGGGATGCAGCAGAGAGAAAGTTCGATTCTCAGCCCATAGTGCGAAGCAAATAGCATCAGATTGGCATACCACTCCAATTTACGAGAATACTACATGAATCTAGAGAAACACAGAATAGGAACAGTGGTACTGGTCGCCATTCCGCCTTTCTGCTGCTCTCAGGTTCTTCCTAAGGAAGTTCCGGCAACGTTCATGCGACTCGATCTGCTCCCGAGATTCAAATTTCATGAATCATCCTCGCCCTGATTTCTTTCCAATATGGTGAAAACAGTGTTCTACAGAAACCACAAGCAACTGGTTTGTAATTTCGAGGGGAACCTCATCGAAAGCTCAATTGAATGTTACCTCACTTTACACCTGAGAATTAACAATTATCTGGAGCTTCTGGTTCGTTTGCACACTAGAAACAAAGTTCGTCAATACAAATGGTCTATGTTCCTCAGATAATATTGTACTGCCAAGTGGTGCATGGCGCACTATCACACATGTATGGTCACGGGTTTGATACCCGGATCGAAATATGCCTAGGTCAACCAGCCCTCCATCCCTCCGGGTTTTTTCTGACAATTTGATTTGCACCAGACTCGTCTGTGAGGATAAAAGCACTGAGTTGCACATCGGCTGGCTGCCCGAGCCATTGTATAGACCACATGCGCATTCAATACGCCACTACGATTCTGAACGGAAGAAGAATGCGAGGCGCATCCCTTGATTGATCATAGCCCAAAGAGTTTACCCTTTATGATCCTTGTTTTTCTGCGAATTTCCATCCTTTTTTTCAATTACACGTTAGTTTTCACTAGAAAGCTGCCAATTTCCTTCCAATCAAGATTGTAACCGTATTAGAGTGAAAACTATGAAGAGCCATCTCTCACCCCAGTTACAACACTGGGTAGGCGGTATTAGGACAGAGTCGGAGGAGCTGTAGATGTTGAACAAGCTTGAGCACGAGATATCACCCCCGACTACTTATTTTGCTCCTAAAAACATTGGAAGGAATAAACACAACAATAAACATTCGACAAGAACAGAAAACTAGACGGAGTTTTAACCATTTTTGGGAAATGTTTTTGGTCATCCAGCAAGATACGTTCGTTTCGCGGAGCCTTCAAAACCTCCAACATTTTCGGCCGAATATGAATCGACAGGAAGCGCAGGTTATTCGCGCTTTGCCCCTGCTATCATATCAGCACAATCACATGCCATTCAATTACTATCAGTAGCGACGAGTTGACATTGAAAGGACAGCTGAAAGGGGAGCTTGTTCTGGGAGAAGCTCTACACTTTACTGGGAATCTGAGTTAGGAAACGAAGTGCGCTTCAGAAGAAACCTCAGCTCAACGTGAATTCTTTCCAAGAACAAAAAAAAAA